GCTTGCTTAGCTAACTCTCAAACTCTTTTGATTCTTTCTCCCTAAGCCTTTTGTCCACAGTTGCTTGTGAACTTACAGTCACTTCTCTGGCCTTCCCATTTCCAGTCGAGATAATTGCACAATGATGAAAAGATGATGAACGCTCCTTCTGAATTGGAATCTTGGCATGGTGGGACCTAGCAAGGTGCATTTTTAGCACAGCCTCCTCTGCTTTCTGTGCCCCCCTAAGGTGTGAGAATTGTAGCTTCCTAGGCTGAGTCTGACCCTGAGTGTGGTCTCCCTCTCATCATCACGTCCTGGCTCTGAGCTAGACAGCAGCTGGCCAAGGGACCTCTTTTGCAGAGTGTGGCTTGGCCTTCCATGTCAGCTGCGAAGTCCTTCCGTTACATTTCCTCCCTGTCCCTGAAGCTCACCTTTCAAGGCTGTGCTGGTAAGAAGGCTCTGCTCAGCCCCGCACCCCATGGAGGACTGACAGAGGGCATCCAGGCGTCAGTCACGGCCATGCACACGCGGCACACATCTTAATGACTGCAGAGCCAGCTGCAGGTGGCATCTGGCTCTGACGTGACATGCTGGCCCCCGTCCCAGGGGAGTACTCTTTATCCAGAGCAGCTGCTTCAGCAGACAGACAGCTCTGCCCTCCTCCCTGCAAGTTCCAGGAAACCTGAGTCTCCCTTTCCAACACGGTGCCTTCCACAGCTCCCGCGTGACCCGTGCCAAAGGCTACACCTGCTGGGACCCCTGAAGGGCATTTCCAGCCCCCAGGCTTGTCTGCCCCCCCGTTCCGATGTGAGGCTGCACCAGCCCACTTCTGGCTGCTTCTCTCCCAGTGCCCGCCAGAAGCAGGATGGGGGGCAGGAGCCAGGCTGGGGGCGCTCTCCCCGGGGACCTTTTGTAACTTCCAGGACAGGAGTGGACAGAGGCTTCCCCATCCCCACTGCCTGCGTCTGGGGCCTGGGCGCTGAGCCCCTTGGGGAAGCCAGGGACCTCAGCAGCGATGGTGGCCAGAGGGGCCTGTGGTTGTTGCAAAGCCAGCTGCTGTCTTTGCTGTGAATCTCCATGCGGTAGGGGTGGGGGTGGGGGTCCTCCTCAGGCCTTTCTTCCTCAGGATCACAGGAGGACCCAGACACACACTGAGCACGTGTCCCTGCCGCGGTTCTAGGTGCCGTAACACACTGACGTCGGTGGCTGACGACACAGTTCACTTTCCTGTGCGCCAGTTGGTGTTGGCCGGGCCTGGATGCACCCAGCAGCTCCATGCTCCGGGCCCGGCCCCCTGCCTGGGCCACAGAGGACCAGCCGCCCGCCTCAGCACCGAGTCACGTGGGAGACAGATGTGGTCGGAGGGAGGGAGAGGCCCGGGATCGTGGGCTCGTTTCCTACAGGTTGCGTGGTTTTCTGGCTCTGGCTCCGAGAGGCCAACCTCTCCCCTGTCTCAGGATTCCCTCACCTGATTGCGTATTAGAATCAGCTGGGGCAGTGCTTCTTTTATTTCTAAATAAGCGATTCCCTGGGCCCGTCCCTGGGCTTTTGGTGGTCTGGAGGCGGGGCCCTGGAAGTGGCATTTTGAAAACCTCAGTCTCAGATTGCTGATGCCCGCACCAGTTCGGAGGACGCTGTAGACCTCCCACCCCTCCCCTTCTCATCTTAATAAGACCCTGGACGTCCACTCATCCCTTATCTGCTCACGTCCTTAGACCCCCTCCCTGCAGCTCCTCCTCAGCCCATAAACGAGCCTCAGTTTCCTCCAGGAACTTTTGGGAAGCGAGGTGCTCGCCACACCCTGGAGTCCACACCTCATCCCCTCCTCTAGCCTCTGACGTCTGCTCCCACCAGTCCTTCCCTTGGCCCACCGCTCATGGCCTCACCAGACCTGTGATTCCACCCCGTCCCTCCCCGCCACCTCTCAGCACGTGACCCTGACCGCCACCTCCTCTTCCAAGAGGAGGCTCTCCTCTCCTGGGTCTGGACACGTCCCTCTCCTCCCTGATTCGTCCCCTCAGCCCCCTCTGTAGTCACTTTCTTCACTCACCCTGAGACCTTGATGTCCCCCAGGGTCTGCCCTTGATCTTGCCTTGAGTTCCGTGCCCTCCTGGGGTGACTTCCACAACCGTCATGACCCCTCCCGAGTCCCCGTCCCCAGCTCGTCTCCACGGCCTCTCCAGGTTTCCCACCTGGTTCATGGCTCCACCCACACCACGTGGCACGAAAACCACTCCTATTCTGTGCTCCTGTCGCCTCTTTCCCTCCTGTCACGCCACTGGTGGCTGCTCCTGGGGACGTGACCTCCTCTTCCTCCGTGGGGCCCTTCCCACTGCCTCCCCACAGCCATGACTCACTTCCCACCGTGTCGCCTCCCACGGGGACTTCTGCACTGTCTCTCCTCCCAGCCTCTGCCTCACCCCGTCCGCCCATCCTCCCCTTGGCGGGGGGCGGGGTCCCAGCATTGGTTCTAAAACTCAGACCTGGCTGCGCGATTCCCTGTCGAAACCCTTCGCGGTGGCCTCCAGTTTCCTGGAAGAGGAAGCCTGGCTCGTGGGTCCCCCTCCCGTCTGACCCCGCCCACCTCCACCTCATTCTTTTACTTTACGGGTCGTTGTTTTTAAAACCAAGCATGCGCTAGCTTTGTTTTTCATCAGTGTGTCCAGCTGCCCTTGGCCACTCAGTCCCCTGTCACCCTCTGAGCTCCCAGAGGACGTACACTCTGGGGTGACCCCGGGCTGCCCTTTCCCCCCACTGCCCTGGGTCATTTCCCGTCAGCTTTCCATCCCTCTCCCCCCACCAGTCACTTAAGCTTCTGCGAAGCCTTTTCTGATACAACCAAACGGAATTTCTCACTGTCCCCTTTGCGACCCCGTGTCCCGCCAGCACGGGAGCTCTGGGGCGGGGGTGGGTCAGGCCCCCACCGCCTGTCTGAACTCTGTGTTCCCAGGCCCCAGCACGGGCAGGTGCTCGGCTCTCATGGAGCTGATCAGAACGCACCCGTAGCTGTTGGGGAGGGCTCTGCGTTATCGGGCAGGACTCGTTTAAAACCATGAACATCTGCATGTGAACATGTGCTAGAATCGTTTAAAAAATGTCCTGCCGAATTGATTAAAACGATGTTTTGATCTTATAAATCCATGCACTTAATCCCTACCTTCTACGGTGTATGTTACTTTGGCCAAAGGGCCCAATTACCGTCGTTTCCGAATGAGTGAAATAATGTGTCCAAATTAATGATAATTAATAAATTCTTTAATAATACTGAAGGTATCTAAATCAAGGCAGCTGCAGGCAGTCTAGGTACATATCATACAAGTCAGCGTACACGCCGTGTGCTCATATTTTCACACACGTCTCAGAGTGCTCATGAGTGTGAGCACATGGGTGGAAGAGAGAGTAGGGACCCAGAGGCCCTGCCACACCACCAGGGAGCTAAGGCTGTCTCTTCTTTCCCATAACACGTGGGCCAGCCCATTCTTGCCCAGCAGACAAGCCTAGGTCTTTGCTAACGCCACTCACAGAGCCCTGCACGTCCACGGAGGAGTGGGCTCCCTTGGCCTTCCTGTCCCCGTGGCAAGTGGGCAGAAGCATGAATAGGCCCACCGGCCTCTAACCAGTTCGGCGATGCTGGCGAGAGTCTGTCTTTTGACAGGGGATGGACTAGATGATCTTCTCACTCCAAGAGTTCAGGAACTGAGTTTCCTTTAAAAAGAAAAGTTTTTAAAATGTATTTTTAGAGAGAGGGTAAAGGATAGAGAAAGAGAGGGAGAGAAACATCAATGTGTGGTTGCCTCTTGAGCGCCCCCTACTGGGGACCTGGCCCACAACCCAGGCACGTGCCCTGACTGGGAATCGAACCGGTGACCATTGGGTTTGCAGACTGGCACTCAATCCACTGAATCACACCAGCCAGACCAAATTTCCGATTCTTTTGGGTATATACCCAGAATTGGAATTTCTGTATTACATGGTACTTCTATTTTTAATTTTTTGAGGAAACACCATACTGTTTCCCACAGAAGCTATACCAACTTCTTTAAAACGTTTTAGTGCAAGGGTGCAACATCCTAGACCGAGAAGAGCTCAGGCTGGTAAACTCGATGGACCGGGTTTAAATCTGGGCTGCGCTGTGTGGGCAAGTCATCGAGCCTGTCTGCGCCTTGGTTTTCCCATCTGCAAAATGGGGTCACTAACGACCACCTCCGACGGCGGGAAGCCTTGGAGGGGCCGCGGGGGGAGAGGGGGCAGCACACTGTGGGTGTGTGGCTAGCGGCGTCTGTGCTGTTTGGTGTAACATTTCCCCCACGTGCTCTTGTTCACCTCACACCATCTTTCCACCTCCGCAGGGCTCTCTGTCCTAACGGAGTCAGCTCGGGTTCATCTCCCAACCCACGTGCGTGACGTGCCAGCCGAGGCACAGGATGGTGGCGCGCACTTCCTGATCGTCCCCAAGTGCCCTGTTTCTTCCTTGTCTTCTACGGAGCCCTGGGTCCACGACCCCATCAGCTCTCAGCTGCTGCCCTGTCTGAGTCCGTCTTTCTCAGACACTGGCAGCCCAGCCAACACCCTGCCGACAAACTCCTTCTCTTAACTAAACCCTGCTTCCGTCGTGTTTCCCTCCTGCTCAGACTCTGTCAGAGCTCAGTTCCCTGTAGGGTGGGGAAGCCCCTTACCCTGGCTCGCAAAGCCCTCCATAGATGCCCTCCCCCTCCCCCACGTCACCACCCCTGCCCCAGGCTCCCCTGCCCTGCTCCTTGATGGCAGGGACCATCGTCATGTCGTCTGTGTTCCCCCAAAGGCACCTTTGGCGCCGTGCTGTGCCTCCTCCAGGTGGTTCATTGGCCTCTAGTGTGGGGACAAGAGGTGGGCCAGGGCCTGCGTGGGAAGTTGCTGGGCACAGGCTGCGTCTCTCCAAGCTCCCAGAGAGTGTGCAGCTGGGCCCCTGGTGGCGACTCGCCCACGTGCCCCTGTAGCTCCCATCACCCTAACGTGGCTGTCCCCTCCGCCACTCACAGGGACGTTCGTCTCGGCCTTTACCGTGCTGTGCGGAGCCCGCACCGACCTCCCGGACAGGCACGTGTGCTGCGTCTTCTGGCTGAACATCGCGGCGGCCCTCATCCAGATCCTCACGGCCATCGTCATGGTGGGCTGGATCATGAGCATCTTCTGGGGCATGGACATGGTCATCCTTGCCAGTGAGTAGCCACTAGTGCTGCGCCTGCTTGTGGGGCTGGGGCCGGGATGAGGGGGGTGGAGCTGGGGGAGGGGTGGGGGCCAGAATGGCCTGGGCGTTTGTGATCCTGCAGGGCGTGGGCACCTGGCAGGCAGACTCGCTGGTCCTGCTCCACCTCCACCCCCGAGGGCTCACCTGTGTCCTCCTCACTCGTGTCTGTGGCTGCCCGGCGGAGGGGACCTTCCCTGCACACCCAGCCGCTATGCCTGCTGGGACTCCTGAGTGCAGACGGGCAGAGACTGAGCCAGAGAGTGCGCGTGAGAGAGGGAGGGAGCCCCTGTCAGCTCAGACACATCAGGCACCGCGTCTGTCAAGGAAACAGGCCAGCCGACAGCACCAGGTAGCGTGGCCCAGGGGGCTCAGGGCCCCTGTGCCTACCACTCCCTGTCCCTCCCTCGTGCACTTTCCAGAAAGAAGGGAAAGTCCACTTAGTATATGGACTAGTTTCGGTGTAGTTTCTCCTTCTTTCAAACCGAGCTCTTTGTCCACGGATGCGGAGGCCTTACTGCCTAGCTGGTATTGCGTGGACTGTTGCCAACCGCTCCACACAAACTTGAGTCAGACACAGGACTATTTTGTGAAAGGGCTTAACCTTTCGGAATCAAGTTGACCAAAGACGACTTGATGAACGACTTTAAAATAACCCAGCGGTGCACGGCCCCTGTGCCCCACGCACGTCCCTGCATTCCGTCCACATCACCAGGCCACGGTGCCCACTGACGGGGCCACGTCTCCGCAGGCGTTAGTCCTTCTCCACCCCCCACGGTCCGCCCGGCGTCCTACACCCAACAAAACCTTTCTGGGTGCAATCGTCACTGCCGAAGGTGAGGTGTGCCAGGCAAGAACAGTAGAGGCCAGAGGGGAAACCCGGGGTTCCGGGGCCCTGGAATGATCCAGAATGATCTGTAGCTGATTAGTCTGGGTTCAGGATCCTGTGAGCATCCAAGATGAGGGGACACACAGGACCAGGAAGGCCTTGGGTCAGTGACGGATCGAGTCACGAGCCAGAGGAACCGCAGGTGCCAGGGCCTGAGGAGGCCTGCAGAGCTGGTGGGCTGGTTGGATGGGCCGCCGGGAAGGTCTTGGGAGCAGAGGTAGGGGAGGAGGGGGGTCTGATGGATGGCCAGAGTGTCCCTGAGTCAGAGCCTTCCCCGTGGGTCGGAGTCAGTGCCATGGATGTCCTCCCACCGGCTCCAGGGCTGCTGTCTTTATGTCACACTCTCTGGGACACCGTTTGGGGGACGGACGTGGGGGCTGCACGAGAAGATCCGTCATGCTTCGCTGCTACCCACTCACCTTGCCCGCCGGCCACCAGACTGGCTCGCCCGGCTCAGCACCAAGGGGTGTTTGCACTTCTTCCAAAGAGTGAACCCGCCTCAAAGGAAGAATACTTGCCACCCTTGCGATGGTGCCACGGGCGTGGACGGCTCCGGGCGACAGTGGTGTGTGTGTCCCAGGGTGGCTGCCTTGGAGGGAATGGCCACAGTCAGCTTGTCTCTCCTGGCAGATGGCTGGACAGGGCCCCTTCCTATAAAAACGAAGGGAACTTTTCAGGTGTAGCCACGCAGGGTGATTTTCAGCGTGCATTGTCGAGGGTGTCATCCACGAACATACCATCGTGGGGGAAAAGCTCAAGAGGGGAATCAGAGAAATATAGATCAAGGTAGAAGTTAAAATCAGGAGCGTGCAAGCACACTACTGTGCTTGCACAGTAGTAACAGTGCAGTGCACAGCCTGTCTCGATCATGGGTCAATAAACACTTGGTAGTTTTCCAACACCTTCTTTCCACTGCCAGGCACATGGCAGGCATTACTAATCGATTGTGACGCTTTCTGCCCAGCAGTCTCAGGACAGGGCTTCAGGCGGTCACCGCCAATTGATCCAAGGTGCCTGCAAGACAAATTCCGTTTGCCACCCCTGGGCCTGGGCCGTTCCCAAAGCTTTAGATGCTACAGATGCGGCTCCGGTGTGTGCAAGGCGGGACTCCTGGGGAGGGGCCACGGTCGCTGTGGGTGCACACACCCGCGGGGCTCACCGCTGGCCGCAGGGCTGGTCACTGTGAGCCCTGAGCACCTCTGTTCCGTCTCCCCGCACCCCCCCCCAGTCCTCCGGCATCCTCCCTTTTTGTATTTCAGGCAGCCCCTCTGTCCTCTGTTTTCAGACTCGTTTCTCTTTTTCTTTTTCTTTCTCTTCTCTTCCTCACGTGCTGCCTCACACCCTGCGCGGCTCCCAAGTTTCCCAAGGTGAGTCTGCTGAGGGTGGCCCAGCCTCGGGCCTGGGCGGCCTGGGCGCCCCACCCCCACCCCACTGCCGCACCCACCCCCTCTCTCAGTTAGTTGACTGGTTTCTATTTTTAGCTTTTTATTTTGGAAAGTTTTTCAGCATAAACAAACATGGAGGGCTTGGCCTGAGCGGGTCTCTAAAAAGCCCCAATTCAACAGCTGCCGAGTCTCAGCCACTCTTGTCTCACCCAGGACTCCCCGCATCTCACCCCAGCCCAGCACTGGGTTATTGGTGCCGAAAATTGATGGAGAATCTGATAAGTAAAGAGAAAAAAAAAGTTAAGTCACTGAAGCTCCTTTTTGGGTTAAGGTACCAGCTAGTAGGAGAAAACCACTCAAAATTCCAGACCTTAATTTTACCCTTGAATATCTCAGTAGGTATCTTTTCTTTTTAAGATGTTATTTATTTATTTTTAGGGAGAGGGGAAGGGAAGGAGAAAGAGAGGGAGAGAAACATCAATGTGTGGTTGCCTCTCGAGCGCCCCCTACTGGGCACCTGGCCCGCAACCTACGCATGTGCCCTGACTGGGAATTGAACCAGCGACCCTTTGGTTTTCAGTCTGGTGCTCAATCCACTGAGCCACACCAGCCAAGGCATAGTTTTTTTTTGTTTTTTTTGTTTTTTGTTTTTTAAAACAACCATAGTGCCCTTTCATGCCCAAATAAATTAGCAATAATTCTCTAATACCCATAGTGGTCTGTTTTCCCAATGGCCTTGTAATTATCACCAATGTTTTAAAGGCTCGACAGCCTCAGTCACCATTGCCTGTGTCATCGCCGTCCAGCTGTGACTGGACGAGCGCACACGTGGTCGCTCCCTGCTATATGCAGTCTTCCTCCTGTCTTCCTTCTTCCTCTCTGTCCACACGTCCCAGCTGCCCATCACCTGGGGCGGCCTGTTGGGCCCCTTCTTCCCAGGCAGGGCATTGGGAAGTCTAGCCAGGCCAGTCTGGTGGGGCCACTTGTGTGCAGGCGTGTGGCTTCAGGGCGTGTTGATATAACCTTCCAACCCCCACCACCCACACCCTCCTCTCCTGCATCCCCAGTAGCCCCCGGCTCCACAGTTCTCCACCCATCCTTCTGATTTCCATCAAAAATCGGTGCCCTTGGGGAGAGTGGGACCCGGACTGTAGGAACGATTTCCCTGTCTGTGTGAGCAAGGTCTCCTGAACAGATCCCAGTCTGGGGGTGGCCAGGGTTCCTGGAGCAACCCCGAAGGAAGCGGGTGTCTCACCATCTCTCCTCCGCTTCTCCCTCACAGGCTACAAGGAGCAGGGCATCCCACAGCAGCTGTGAGCCCGGCCAGCCGCCAGGAGACCAGGCCGCCCCGCGAGGGCCCCGTCCGGCAGCGGCGGGCACAAGGACCTTGCGTGTTGTCTTCTGCTGTTCCCTGGGCTTGGAGTGGACAGGGAGGGATTTGAAGATACACTTTACTCTGGAAATGCACCTGCTTTTCTCAGCAGGCTCTGAGGGCTGCCAGCCCCTCCCTGCTGCATCCGGAAAGCCCCGTGCGCTCGGGCCCCCTGAGCCTCTCCAGGGGAGTGGGGAGCGGCAATAGAGTGGCTGGAACGTCCCTGTTCCCTCCCACCCCACCCCCTGCTTTGCATCCTCCACTGCAAGGGCACACCTGAGCGGTGGGGCCAGGTAGCAGTGGCCCCGTCTGGGTGAGCAGGGGCTCACCAAGGAGCAGGACTGCGGTGGACACTTCCTCTGGGTCCCCAGCCCCTGCCAGAGTGGGTCCCTGGAGGCAGCTCTAGGGGGGCAGTGAGAATGGATGGAGTCCAGTCTGGAGGGGCAAGGCCTGCTGTGCCCTCAGCTTTGGTGGCGGGGGACACAGATCCCCAGAGATGTGACCCAGCCCTGCCCTCCCTTATCGAATCCCCCACTTCCTTGTCACTGAAACTCCCAGGCCTGGGGGTGTTGGACCTTTGTTTCCCCGAGTCTATGGGTGTCCCTGGGGCTACCTCCTGGAATCCCGGTCTTACCTAGAAAGGCCAAGCCGTCTCTGCGTGGGCCCTGCCTGGCCGCCCTCCACAGCTCCCTGAACACCGTTTCTGGCCCACAATCTGTTTTCTGGAGTCCCTGGGATGGGTGGGTCTCTGAGGTCAGAGATGCTGGGTCTGAGAAAGAGAACAGCAGGCGTGCGCCCCACATTTCCCAACACCCCACCATCTGGAACAGCGCTCCACCGTCCAGCACGTGACCCAGGGGTGCCTCCAGTTGCAAAGGGGCCCCGGGTCCCTTTGGGACACCTCGGCGATTGTTACAGGCAGACCCCACGGGGGGCAGGAACCAGCCGGAGTCCTCCGGGGGACTGCAGGTCACGTGTCGATCTGAAATGTGGAGGGGGAGCTCCAAAATGACAGCGACAAGGCGGACATCTCCACGTCTGGTTTCGTTTTCTGTCTCACGCAGGAATCGCTAAGATGCGAAGCAGGCTCCAGGCCAAGTGCCCCACCCACTGGGCTTCGTGCCCCTCTCTGAGGGGCTGCTCCTGGGGGCCAGGGCTGGAGAAGGGACCTGTCTGCCCATTTTCTTCCCATGCTGGACAGGGCCCCTGGCTCCATCGGGGGCCCCGTTGGGGGCCGGTGTTTGCATAGTCTCTGTTCTTAGGCCCCCAGCTGGGGACCCGTGCACTGGGCTTTCTAATTACAGTCCTGCCGGGGAAGCAGGCCTGGGGGGCCCTGGGACCTGGACAGCTTTCTGGCATCCCCCCGGCCGCTCGCCCATCCCTGCGCCCTGGTTCGGGGCAGGGTCTCCACTCCTGGCCTGACCTTAGCTGCCCGTCACCCCTTAGCTTTGATGAGCATCTCCTGGAGGCTGCAGGGGGCTGGGTCGCCCTTTCGGAACACCTGGCACGTCTTTGTACCCTCCCCCCTCCTCCCTTCCTGACACCCGCCCAGCCTTTGCTGCTGCTTTCACGTTGGGGAGCCGCTGCATTTTCAAGGCAAGGAACCAGGTTTGGTTTGATCAGAAAGCCAGAGCCTTTCTCCAGGCCGAGAAGACAGCCGGCGCCTGAGCTCGGAGCCTCCCCTGGAATCAGATAGAACCCCCTCAGCTGATGGAATGACAGTGCAAGGGCCCAGCCACTCCTCCACAGCCGCCAGCCCACAGCCCTCCCCCCAGCAGCTCCCCGAGTTTGCGTGGCCCCCTGGAGCGATGACAGGTCCCCGGGGAGGGAGGGCACCCCCACCGTGGGAGGAGAGGGTGCTGTTCTCCTGGCTGGGACTGGGGGTGGCTGCTGAGAGGGTAGAGAACAGATAGTGACTTATGTCGCATGTTTAGTGACACAAGCCAGACAGAGGTGGGAATTTTTTTTTTGAGTGACAGGTGTCACCATGAGTCCCAGTGTGGAACGGCTTAATGTGGGGGTCTGCGTACTTGGAAGGACGTCCCCAAACTTGGGAAGACATGAGGCTCAGGAGGAAGCCCCTCTGCAGGCTGCTGCCGTGTGGAAGAGACCGAGACCAGGAGGACCCGCTGGTCTGGGACAGCGAGCCCATGTGGACTGGCACGTGTGTGGAATTGGCTCAAATAGCGTCAACTCATCAGCCCGCAGTCTCTCCATTCGATAAGGAGCCGTGGCTAGTGCGCTCCCAGCGGTCGGGGCGACCAGAATTCGTTGATTGAACCCCCGCCAGCTGAAAACGAGCGCTTGATTGACACCTAACCCTCTGGGGACAGAGCTGGGCTTGACTCAATGGCACAGCGAGAAGGGGAAGGTCCAGAAGTCATGGGGCATGTTTCAGCATCGGCCTTCCGTCCATCAGAATCCCCCAGGACATCCCCTGGCCATGGGGGTTTGGGGGGCCCCAGGGGTGCAGAGAGCTTCACAGTAAAGGAGACGATAATCCCAGGATTGGAGCGGCAGTTCCCTGCGGCCGGAGTGCAGCCCTGGAGTAAGAAAGAGCCGCCTGGGGGTTGGGGGATGTCCTGTGGGCGTGGAGGCTGTGGGGCTGGAGCGTAAGCTCTAGGTCTGCTTCCGAGCCAGGACTCCCGGCTTGGACAGCAGGAGGCGGATGGCTCCTTCCTGGTCCTGTCACCCCCATCCCCCCCGCTGCCCTAACCCTGCCTGCCCTGCGCTGGGGGCTGCGGGTGGGGCCTCCGCTTGGATGCCCTTGAGGGGAGGGAAGGAAGAGACACGGAGCAAGAAGCCCTCTTCTGTGGCCCAGACCACGTGTCAGCCTCAGTGCCAAGGGCAGTCTCCGAACGCTGGGGCCGCTGCAGCACAGCGTGGAGCATTTGGTCTCCGGCGACTGCCCAGGCAGGGTGGGTTTGTGAGGGTCTCTCGGCTGTGCCTGGACCCAGCTCCCCCTGGGCCCCTGGGCCCCAGCTGGGGGTGGGGCGGGGCCGTCTGACCCTGGGCCCAGAGTCTGGGCCCCAGCAGCTCCCGGGCCACCGCAGGCTTTAGGGACACTGGTTGTTTCTATCTGTTAGCGATGATGTTGGCAAGGGAAGCCTCCAGCACTGTGTAAACTGCTCGGGTGTTGCACTTAGATGCAAATGAACCAGTGGGTGGTTTCAGGCCCTGTTCACTGTTGTTACTATTCCTCCCTGTCGTGGGTCTATTCCGAGGGCTTTCCGCAGAGGGGCTGGGTGGGGAGGAGCCCTTTTACAGCGCCCACACTGCACTGACCCTCCCAGAGACCACGACCTCGTGTGGGGTGGGGGGCTCCAGGCTCGGGGAACAGTTCAAAGAGGACGCTGACCGTATGCTGTGTGCCTCCCCCCGCCCTCCCGGAACCCGGGCCGAGGCTGAGCAGCAGCAGGCCTTCCCCTGCGGCCTCCCGGCCTGCGTTTTGGCCTTCAGCGAGCACTCAGTGTAAGCACTCAGTGTGGGCTCCCGTGTGGGCCAAGCAGGGCCTGGGCACGGCCCCGGCGCAGCCGATCAAAGATACCACTTTCCTGGAGAGCATCCCGGTCCCCAGGTTTCCGGGTGAAACAGCAAGATGCACAGAGGTAGACGAGGGGACAGCCTGTCCCCGAGGACTGGCTGGACCCTTCCCTGCAAAGAGGAGGGGCCAGGATGTCAGGGAGGTGGGACCGAGGTGGCCTGAGCACCGGGCGGGCATCCCTCGGGGTCCTGTGTGTCTGCCGGTTTTCTTCCTGTTGGGTTCTCAGAGCTTCAGAAGGTTCATGGGGGTCCCAGAGGGGCGGACGCTCATGCTCAGAATCCACCTAAGTCCCATGAGATAGGCTGGGCCCCTCTGGTGACAGCTGGGGGGGCCCCAACCAGCGTGACCCCGGACGCTCCCCACGACCTGCACGGGAGTTCCAGACTCAGTGCTGTTCGTCCCTTCTGCTGCTTCCTGCCTCCGTTTTACCTTCTGTGGGTGGGGAACAAGGAGGGGCCTGGGCAGCCATTGTTTTCCCCAGGTCTGTAGGAGCGAGGGGCTGGGAGGGGGCCGATGGGGGGGGGGAGGGAGGGGGGACGGGGACCGGGAGCAGCTGTCCTCTCCCGCACAGGCCTCCTGGGCTCAGGCTGGCAGCCCTGCCGCGGGGACTCTTTCTAGCGACACAGAAACATTGGCGCCCAGTTCCGCTCGCCCCTCCTGTCCCTGCCCCTGCCTCACTCGGGTCCCACTTGTATGCGTCTGAGCTCCTGGGACAAGGTATCTCTCGCTTTGATTTTGCTGGGACTCTCTGTCCCCAGCCCCACTCCCTCCCTCCTGCCTGGATTTGCCAAAACGCCAGCCACCCCAGCTGGTCCGGACTCCACAGTACCCCTCACCGCACTTTCACCTTTAAATGGGCAGAAGCACAGACACACACTCACACACTCACACGTGCACACTCACACGTGCACACTCCGCAGCCCTTCTGAGTGCGGCCGGGTGAGGGCCGGACAGGGTCTGTCGGGAGGTTCAGGACTGGGGCTTCACATCCCCTAAGGGGGCCCGAGTCCCCCCCACCCCCACCCGGGACCCATCTTCTTCCAGCCCGGCCTCCGGCTGGTGGCACTGTTTGCGTCTGTCACTCCCACCCAGGGCCCCAGACTTGCACAGTGTCCCCTCTCCAGGGCACCTGGTCTTGGATCTCTTCTTCCCCGGGCCCCACCGGGTGGGGCTCACCCCCCACACCCCACCTTGGCCTTTGGTGGGAGGCGGGTCTGCTCAGAGAACAGGGGGACGGTGGTTGTTTTCTGGGCTCTTCCTGAGCTGCAGACAAGCCTCTCCTCCGAGGCCCCTTTCTGCTCCCGCACCCCTCCCGCCTGCCCCAGTACGGGAACCAGTGGGGCGGGGTCTTGTCCACAGGCTCTCTGGTTAGTGCTGGGCCCGTGCTCCGAGGGGGCGAGGGCGGTGTTGCTGTAACGGCCCAGGCACCCCGTGGGGGCCCTCGGCCGGCCACGTTCGCAGGCTGAGCTCCATGCTGTTGTACATGGTGCCCGTGTTGTCGCTGTCGTTGTTTTTTAAACAACACACATAAGAACAAGACCGGTTCTGTGCATACATGGATGCGTGTTGTGTCGTGACCGTCTGTGTTGGGGTCTCAGTGTTTGCTGTTACGTGAATCACTGTACATGCCTACTGTTCTCTGACAAGGCTGTGCGCTCTGGTCCCCCATGGCTTCCTTGACTCAGTCCTACCCAGACCTCCTGGGAGCGGACCCACCCCACCGCCAGCTCTCCCCGGGATCCAACCCAGCCAGGCGGCTTTTCCGGCCCATCCCAATGACTGGAGCCTTTTGGGGTCCAAGAGAGGGAGAAACCTCCCGTGTCCAGGGCCCAGGGGAGCTTTCAGACCTGCCCGGGTTCAAACCTCACAGCCTGGACCCGGGCTGCCTACAGCTTAGCTCTCCCAGAGTCCTCAGGACCAAGCCCTGGCAGACTCGCCGCTGCTACCGGGGCCTCCACGGCGCCCCACGGGCGCTCAGCAGGGTTCCAGCTTCTTCTGCATTCTGCCTGCTTTGAAATCCATAACTCAAGCACTGGTACTGTACGTGTAATAAAAAACACCATGTGCGACAACAGAAACCCTTGTACATACCTCCGTACCTCCATGTACATATCTCTATCCACACACGCATTCCCGTTATAAATATATAAAGCATGGCATCTCTGGCATTCCAAGTTTGTGTTTTCTTTTCTTTTCTTTTTAAATCCTGGAAATACGGTTTTGGAAACCTTTTCTTCCTTTCCCCCTTTTCTATGTAATAAACTGTGACCTTTCGGGCGGCTGCTCCAATCTCTGTGTCCTCTCGTCCTTGTAACTGAACAGACCCCTGACTGGTTCCTAACGGACTCCCTCCCCCTCTCTCGGCAGCATTTCCTATCTCTGTCTTTCCCATCAGGGACATTGCCTGTCCCCACAGTGGGCCTCGCCCCCATTCAGATCATCTCCACATCCCGCTTCTCCTGGGGCGCTGGTACAAGTTACTCCTCCGGAAACTCGCACATTTGCTTGAACATCGGGTCCCGGGGCGGGTTTAGCAGGACAAAGTGCACAGAGGAAACTCGTTTCCTTGTCTTGATTGCTTGACGGGCTGACGAGGCCAGTGTGTGCATTGCACAGATCTGCCGAAGTCTCCCGCGTACTCGAGAAGCCGGGTGGGAGTGATTAGGAGAACTTACAACTAGCTGTTCGGCTCCAACAGGGGACTGGCTGGACTGAGGTTCCCGTGGAGGGAACTGGAAGGGCACAGCTCGGGGCCCAGCCAACGCCCTCCTTAACGATTGGGCGGAGGCGAGACAGCTTGTCCAATCTGTGGACGGAGGGAACTAAACACTTGAGGACACACTAGGATTCAAAAAGCTCCTGACAGGCAGAGGCAATCTAATGAGAGGAAATCTAATAACCGGATCTCACAGTTAAATGAAACAGCAGTGCTTGGGAGGAAGAGCCCTCCACGATTCTCCCCACACCCGGGGAGTTATGGGACAGGCCGCTCCGTGTCCATCAGCGCCGAGAGGTGATTGACAGGGCATTTGATTTCGGATGCATCGGGAGCGGCGGGCTGGGGTCTCGAACGAGGCCGTGTCTGCAGCCTTGTGTTCAGCTCTGGGTGCTCTGGGGGTCAAGTCTCACACCCCAAGGGAAAGGCCCTGCTTCCTGCTGCTTTCTCACCTCAGCCCAGGACCCGTGGGGGCTGGCCTTCCTGGCCCACTACCTGGCAGTGTCCTGGTCTGTCTGCTGAGAGATGCTGCTGTCTCAAGGGCCTTGATGTGCCCCTGGTCAAAGAGCGAATCACTTCAAAGGGCGGCCTTTCAGTGAGATTGCACGCTCAACCACAGGGACCCTTTCAAGGCCCCAGAAGTGGCATCTGCGCCAAGGGTTGACTTTAGTCACTGCTGAAGCCAGGACTCAAAGCCCAAGACAGCATAATGAGCCCAGGCTGTCTCAAGGCCGCCCGCCACTGCAGGGTGCATTTCTTGATTTTGCGCCTCTTCCCAACTCCCTGTGCTCACATTATGCCAGAGGATTCTTTCTGCAGAGGAGTCTGGCTCCAGAGGGGCTGGCGGAAAGGCTCAGCGGGAGGTGGAGACAGCCTTGCTCTGGAGTCCTGTCCCGGGAAGGGAAGGACCCTCAGGCACACCGTCTCTCCTCTCCCAGCCCCCTGTTTGCTTGTCCTCAGGAAAGGCGACCTGGTGGAGCCAGCCAGTGCCTCTCTCCTGCAGGGTGATGCACAGTGTCCTCCCTGCTGCCGAAGAGCTTGCTTTGGACCTGGAGGGAAGGGGCCATGATGAATTCGAAAGCACCCGCTCCCCAGAGCTCCCCCCAGGCTCTGGGAGATGTGGGTGCTTGCCTGAGGCCAGTCACAGGGAGGGACACGGGAGCATGCACGGGGTCGGGAGGGCGTGGGGTGGGGAGCCAGGGTGGGGTTTGTGGTGGACCCATTCTGCAGGAGGGCGGCTGTCGGAGACGCGGAGCACACACCTGGGCAGAGAGGGCTCCCGGAGCAAGCGCTCAGCCGGGACGTGCTGTAGTTACCAGTGAGAGGAATTCAGCTTGAGTCGGCCCAGGGAAAGGGAGAAGGACCGAAGGGCGGGGAGAGGAAGGGAAGGAGGAGGGAGGGAAGGGAGGACCGGTGTGCTGAGGAAGCAGCAAGCCTGGGAAGCTCCATGGACAGCACGCCTCCCCCCCTGCAGCCACAGGACTGTCCCTCCATCCCAGGGAGCCCACACTCCGTGAGATGCTGAAATGGAAAGCTTCCAAAGTGGAGGGTGCCTGCCAGCGACTCATGAGACCTCTCAGTGACCTAACTCAGGAATTACTGAGATGGTCACCTGGCTGATAGCAGAAGGAGAAGCGGAGAACCTCAAAAAAAAAAAAAAAAAAAAAGGAGACAGCAATGGCTGGTCACGTGGATGGGGTCATGTTCCAGGCTCAGAGGCAACAGTGTGTCCTGGGCTGAGAAACCCCTGTGCCCACCCACGTTCAGGTTTCTGGGAGACACAGCTTTGCAGCAGCTCCTGTGGCCTGTGGCCCGTGGCCCGAATGTCCTTGTGATACACCTGGAGACCTGAGTGGCCCCTGGTCTATGCCTTCTCCGCCCACCGTCAGCGGAGAGGAGTTCAGGCCCCGGGGAGGGACAGGCTCTGTGGAAAGTGATTAGAGCAGGAGCCTGCAGCTGTGTCTCAAGTCTGAGCAGTGGATATTTATATTTTTGCCCAAAATAGCTCCATTTTAAAAACAACTCTAGAAAGCAAAGAAACTTTTCAAACGTGGAATGTCAGCGGTGGGGGAAATAAGCTCTTTCCAAACACTTAGAAGTTGTGCCCGTCTCCTGAGGTTCCAGGATGGGAGGGGAGCCCAGAAGTCTGGGACGGGGAGGGGGCGTGGAATTCGCCTCCACCGTTGGCTTCTGGGAAACTTGAAACACATCCGAGTCTTCTGAAGAAGTTGAAGTGGTGAGGTACGGATTTTTATGACAAAGAAATCAGCGTTGTTGCTCTGAGCCTCCTGTCACCCTGCAGGCCCGTGTCCCCGGAGTCCGCACCTGCTCCCCCCCCCCCCCACAGTGGAACACAGCCCTCCTCCGCTCCCCCATCGAGCGCTCCCTGGCTCCCCAGGCCCATCTCAGGTCCACCAGGGCGATCTGGTTCGCTCTGCTCTCCACCCTGTTACGATCTGGTTCGCTCTGCTCTCCACCCTGTTACGCAGGCGGCTTCTGCCCCTACTCAATCCACGTGATTCTGGGGGCACCTGCCAATCACAGAAGCGCCCCGCCCCCTTATCGCAGCCAGGCCAATCGCAGGGTCCCCTTGCGGAGCTAACCTGCAGCTGTGGCAACTTTCCTGCGATCTTTCCAAGGGGACCTGGCTGTTTTCCTCCTTGGCCCGGAGGCTGCAGTGCAGAAGCCTGAAGCTACCCCAGGACCAAGTTCCCACCTCACGGGCACAGGAGGGTGGCCTGAGACAGGGGCACGTGGAGGAAGCGGAGATGAGAGGTGGAGGGA